GTTCATAAGTTTTTAAAAATTTGTGAAATTTGGTGAGGTTGGTGGAGGTACCATTAAGGAAGATGATGAGGTCATCTGCAAAAGCCAGGTGTGTTATGGGTAGGTAGTTTCTCCCCATACTATAACCTTGAAGGAGTTTATTGCAAATAAGATTTTTAAGAGATCGACTAAAACGCTCTGAGGCAATGATGAAGAGTAAAGGTGAGATTGTGTCACCCTGTTTCAGCCCTCTAGAAGTGTGGAATGATTTTGTGTTTTTCCCATTGATATTCACGGCAAGAGAGGTGGAGGTGAGAATTTTCTGGATGAGGAGCATGTACTTGGCACCGAACCCAAGTGTTTTCAACACTTCCATCAAGTATATCCAAGAAACTCTATCAAAAGCCTTAGACATGTCTAGTTTGATAGCTAGGTTTCCTCCCCGACAGTCATTAGAGAGACCATGGAACATATCTTGGGTAATGAGGATCTGGTCATGAATGAGCATTTCCTTTACAAAGCCCCCTTGTTCTGGACATATGATTTTAGGAAGAATGGAGGACAATCGGGAAGCCATGATTTTGGAAATAGTTTGGGCCATGAAATTAGAAAGACAAATGGGCCTGAATTCAGCAAAGTTTGGGGGGTTTTCCATTAGACCTCTCATACCCCCTCCGTTGTATGAACCCCAGTTATCCTTGACTACGAGTATGAATGAGTGGTGAGTTGTGAAGCAGCTCATGAATTTGAATGGGGTGGGCCCCATGTAAACTTCTTTTTAAATTCTTAAGAGGATAGGAGTGTGATCTGATCCTCCTCTAGCCAAGTGTTCAGAAGAAATTTTCCAGTTGAGAGGTAACAAAAAATGCTTTATCTTGGTTTGTTGACAACTTAACTAAGTATTCAAGAGATTAAATGTCCGAACCCCCATGATGAATTTCTGAAAAAATTCACAAAAAAATTTAAAAATTGGTTCGACTGGCCAGTTCTTACCGGTTTAGACCGGTTCAAGTCTGATTGCACCCAAACGACTAGACCGAACCGGTTGGACCACTGCTTCACGGCCCGAACCGGCCGATGAGGTTCAGTTTTTGAAACTATGGAC